CGCATTCCTGCGACACGCATGTCCTGGGCATGGGGCCAAGGGCCCCATGGAGGTCCCCAAGGGCACCTCCACGACTCCCTCTGGATTGGAGCTGAGTGTTGGCACTCCAGGATCAGCGAGGGCAAAGCAGGGGTTGGACTTGCCTGGGCAGATGACCTGGCCTCCTGTGGTGGGCAGTCTTCCATGAGCAGCCAGCCTCGCCGCCCCCGACAATGCCATCGCGCCCGTCCTGGCGCATGGAGTGACAGCCTTTGCGCGCGCCCTGTGTGTGGAGACTGCTCGGACTCTGGGCTGACGCTGGTTTGCCACGTCCGGCCGTTGGTGGTGGTCTGGCCTCACCTCCGGACACTCTAGGGGTTTCAGGTTGCTGGGCCTCATGAGTGTCTCCTCAGTCCTCGGGCCCCACGGGGTGTCAGGGTGGCTGTGAGGGTGACCCTGGGGTTGTGGAAGCCAGCACAGGTGAGTGCAGGGGGGTGAAGGCCCCAGGCCCCTGCAGGCCAGCACCTCTGGCTGCCCGACCACTGACTGAGCCACTTTGCCACAGTGCGCCTGGTGACACCAAGCTGCAGACTGTGAGTTGCGGGGTCAGTGAGGGAGCGCGGTGCCGCCCCACTGCCTGTCCTGGGAACCCTGTTGCTGTGCCGCTGCCGTCCCTGGAAGCCTCCTTCCGGCAGAGGGCCACTGCTTCTGCCCGGCTCGCCCTGGGTCCCCAGCGCTGACCTTGATTTTTAGGCACTGTTTTCATTTAAACCTTCCCGAACTCCAGATGGGATCCTCCTAATTCACCTTGTCCACCAGGATGGCTGTGAAGCCTGCTGCATCCCACCAGCAGCCCCAGGTGCTGGCCAGGCTCAGGCCAGCAGGCGGGTCACAAGGTTTACAGGACCTGCGCTCCCTCCCTCCCCCAACGTTTGCAAGGCTCTCCTTGCTCAGCGCATCCAGGACCACCAGGGCCCTGGAGCCAAGGGCAGGTGTGTCCTAGGAGGGCTGCGGGCCCTGTTTTCATGTGCGGGGGGTCGGAGCCTGAGTATTCTCTCTGGAGACCCTCCCAGCAGCGGATGGTCCACAAAGGGTCAGACCAGCACTGCAGGCCCCTGCAGCCAGGCCAGGTCAGTGTGCAGGGAGTGTGACCATCCCCTGAGCCTGGGGCCAGGGCAGAGGCTGCCCAGGCCCCACCGTGTACCTGCACGTGTGTGTGTGGCTGGGCACACGCCGTGCCCCACACCTTGACCTTGGGCCCTTCTCTGAGTGAGGAACGGTGTGGGGAGGTCCTGGTTGTCTCCAGGCAGATTTCTCAGACTTTCTGTAGCACAGAAGCCAAGGCCGAAGCTGACCTGGCCCCAGCGCAGGCCCATCTGCTGGTCCCAGGCCCCTCCCTGCCCGCTGTCTTCCGTGGGCGAGGCCCTGGGCAGCTCGTGAGCATCAGCCGCGCTGGCCGGGAAGGTGGTTTCACCGAGTTTGCTCTGGGCCCCAGGAAACAGTTGAGTTGCTCCGGGGAGCTTTTTTGTGTGTTTCTTTGAAGAGGCAAGTTTTCTTTCTTCCTGAACTGAAAGGATCTGGTTGGAACATAGCATTAGGAGCAGCAGCTTCATCCTTGTAAGGAACAATTGATTTTTCTGCCGGGCAAGCAGCTGCAGTCAGTGTAGGAGACTGAGTGTGTTGTGGAGTGTGGACCCCCCTCGCACACGGATTAGCCAGCCTGCCCCGCCCCCAGATCCCTGGCCCATCTTGGGTGGGAGGAGCCAGGAGCATCCCACCTGCCCTGCGGAGGAGGAGCAGAGGCCCAGCCTGGGGGAACCAGGCAGGTCAGGTATCCAGGAGCAGAGGAGGCTGTGCTCCAGGGCTCCCGGTGGCCTGTGGGGCAGTCTGTGCAGGGGACCGGGAGTGTGGGAGGTGGGTGCCCTGCCCTGGCTATGTGTCACCAGCAGGGTCTGGGAGCGAAGTGCAGGCCCCCCAGCTCCAACCTGCCCAGCCAGTCCTTCAGCCCTGCCCGCCCTGCCCTTCATGCGCCCACCCCGCTGCCATGCCACAGGCCCGGCCACTTGGAGAGTGCTGTGTCCTCGATGGCCATCCCTGCAGGCCCTGCTCCAGGGCCGGTTCCCTGGCCGTGTCCAACAGCAGCCCTCCTGCCCACCGAATGCACAGCCAGGGGCCTCCTGGGACAGGAGCTCCAGGTGGGATGGAGCCAGCTCTGCAGCCACAGACAGGTGCCTTCCCCCGGCCAGTAGCCGTCCATCCTGGGAGGACAGTGTCCTGCCACACACAGGATCTCCCAGGCAGGGCATGGCCAGTGCTTCAGGACAGGCTGGTGGTCATGGTGGCCCTGCCCCTTCTCCCACCTTCTTTGACCTCAGGCCCTCGGCTATCCCCCCGCTGGGCAGCCCACCATCCACGTCCCACAGCCCCGAGGGCTGCCAGGCACAGAGCCAGCCTCGCCTGCCGTGACCTCCACACCTTGGGCTGCGTGCTGTGAGAGCAGGACGGGGCTTCCCTCTTGCTATAGGACCCAGCTGCCTCCATGAGCCTACACCAGGCAGGCCTGGGCCTGCAGTGGTCTGGGTTGGTGGTAGGCAGGTGAGTGGAGAGTGCCTGGCCCCCCAGAGTCCAGGCTGTCCCTCCCTGACCCATGTGTGCCAAAGGCCGGCCGCCAGAGGGGCTGCTGAGATGCAGGCGGGTCACCACCCACAGCCCCGCCAAGGAGGCTGCCGTTGTGGCTGGAGTTGCTCAGTCCCAGGGCCTTGGTATGGGACAAAAGGGCTTCCAGGCTGAGCCTGTGTCCTCGGCTAGGCAAGAATGTCCGCAGGGGGCAGGCCAGGAGCGCCTCTAGGTTGCTTTTCAAGGTCAGATGCCTGTAGCCCCTCAGCATATGTCAGAACAGACCCCTGCCCAGGGGTCCCAGAAACACCAGAACCAGAGAGGCAGCTGGGCTGGGGACCCAGCAGGCAGCCCTGACCATTCACGCCTTCCCCTCCCCGTCACGTACTCACTTTTTATTTTTGAGATGAAATTCACATAACATAAAACTAACCATTTCAAAGTGGACAGTTCAGTGCTATTTAGTGAATTCACAGTGTGCGACCATCACCTCTGCCTAGTTCCACAACATGTTTATCACCGAAAAGGACACCCTGCGCCCACTGTGCACTCACTCCCCAGCCCCGGGAACCACGAGTCTTTCTGCCTCTGTGGATTTGCCTGTCCCAAACGTTTCATATAAATGGAGTCATACAACATGTGGGCTCTTGTGCCTGGCTTCTTTCACTCAGCATGTTTTGAAGGTTCATCAATGTTGTAGCGTGTGTCAGAATTTCATTCTTTTTTTACAGCTGTATAGTATTCCACCTTTTGTTTATCCATTTATTTATTGAGGACATTTGGGTTGTTTCCAACTCTTGACTATTGTGAACGGATCTGCTGTGAATGCATGTGTACATGTATTTGTTAGAGTCCCGGTTTTCAGTTCTTTCGGGTATATTCCTAGGCATGGAATTGCTGGGTCATATGGTGATTCTGTCTAACGTATTGAGGATAGGCCAAACTGTTTTCCACAGCAGCTACACCATTTTGCATTCCCACCAGCATTCGGGGGGGCTCTAGTTTCTCCACATCCTTGCCAACACTGTTGCCATCTGCCGTTCTGATTCTGGGCAGCGTGTGGATGTGAGGTGGTGCCTCCCATGGTTTGATTTGCGTCTCCCTGATGGCTGGTGCTGTCGAGCATCTGTCCACATGCTGATTAGCCGTGAGTGTATATTCCTTACAAAAATGTCTGTCCAGACCCTTTGCCCATTTTGAGTCAGGTTGTTTATCTTCTGTTGAGTTGTAGTTCTTTGTATGTTCTGGATACTAGTCCTTTCTCAGACACACGATTTGCAAATACTTTTTCCCATTCTGTGGATTGTCTTTTCATTTTCTTGATTATGTCCTTTGAAGCATGGAAGTTCATTTTGATGAAGTCCAATTTTTTTTCTTTATTTGCTTATGCTTTTGGTGTCATATCTTATAATCCATTGCCAGATCCAAGGTCATGAAAATTTACCTTATGTTTCCTTCTTCTTGGAGTTTTATAGTTTTTGTTCCTACATTAAGGTCTTTCATCCATTTTGCGTTAATTTTTGTATGTGGTGTGAGGGCCCAGCTTCATCCTTTAGTGTTTAGATCCAGTTGTCCCAGCACCATTGCTGAAGGGACTGTCCTCTCCACCAAATGGTCTTGGCCCCTTGTGTGCAGGGGTTCACTTCTGGCTCTCCATTCTGTTCCTCTGCTCACAGAGCCCACAGACAGACATATACCACACTGTCTTGAGTTTCTGCCTCTTTTTCAAGATTGTTTTGGCTACTTGAGGGCAGGGTGGGGTGGGGGGGCCTGCAATTTGATATGAATTTTAGAATCGGCTTTTTCCATTTCTGAAAAAAAAGAGGCCATTGGGATTTTGATGGGGATTGCACCGACTGTGTAGATTACTTTGGGTGTTATTGTCATCATGGGCTGGGGTGTCTCTTGGTTTATTTAGGTAGTCTTTAATTTTTTTCAGCAGTGTTTTGTAGTTTTCAGGGTACAAATCTTTTTCCTCCTTAGTTCAGTTTATTATTCCTCGGTATTTTATTATCTTGGAAGCTGTTGTAAGTGGTATTGTTTCCTTAGCTTCCTTTTCAGGTTGCTCGCTGCTGGCACAGGAACACTACTGACTTCTGGGTCGATCTCATGCCACGTAACTGCTGAATTTATTAGCTCTAGTAGGTACTTGTGGATTCTTGGGCTTTTCTGTGCCTAGGCTCACATCATCTGCAAACAGACGGTTTTACCCCTTCCTTCCCAGCTGGAGGCCTGTCCTCTCTCTTTCCTGGCTTGTTGCCCTGGCTGGACCGCCAGTACGTACCGACGAAGCGCGGGGGCCTGGTCCTGGGAGGAGAGCATTCAGTCTCTCGGCGCCGGGTGTGGTGTTCGCTGTGGGTTTTTGTGGATCCCTTTGTCCTGTTGGGGAAGTTCACTCTCACTCTTCCCTGGAACTGACCAAAGACTGCCTCCACAGCAGGGCCCGCGGCCACTGAGACGGTGGTGTGGTTCAGCCCCATCCCTCTGTCCCCAGAGGTCCACCCCCCTGGATGGGGTCTGAGGACAGAGCTGTGGGGGCCCTCAGAGGCCTTGGGGCCCCCTCCCTCCTTAGAGTCCTCAAGGCCCTCACGGCTGCCCTCTTGAGCCTGGTGTCCATCACAGCCCAGAGGGCACAGATCCCTCTGCCTCGTCCCCCTCATCCCAGGTGGAGACTTGGGTCCCTATCCTGCAGGCCTGTGCTGACCGGGGCCTTCCCTTCCAGCCACACACACTCACCTGGGTCCATGGCCGCGGTTGGGGAGTGGTCCTGTGCACGCTGCACCTTCCTGAACCCGGCCGGCCAGCGCCAGTGTTCCATCTGTGAGGCCCCCCGGCACAAGCCCGACCTCGACCAGATCCTGCGGCTCAGCGTGGAGGAGCAGAAATGGCCCTGCGCCCGCTGCACCTTCCGGAACTTCCTGGGCAAGGAGGCCTGCGAGGTGTGTGGCTTTGCCCCGGAGCCCGGGCCCAGTGCCTCCCTGCTGCCTGTCATCAATGGGGTCCTGCCCAAGCCACCCACCGTCCTGGTGGAGCCCAAGGGCAGCTGCAAGGAGGAAGCGGGTCCAGTGCGGACAGCAGGACTGGCGGCCGAGGAACCAGCCGGGGGGCGGCCGGAGGAGGAGGAAGAGGAGGAGGAGGAGGGAGCAGCAGAGCCTGGGAGCGGCTGGGCCTGCCAGCGCTGCACGCTGCACAACACGCCGGTGGCTAGCTCTTGCTCTGCCTGCGGGGGCCCCCGGAAACTCTCACTGCCCAGGATCCCTCCTGAGGCCCTGGTGGTCCCTGAAGTCATGGCCCCCGCTGGCTTCCATGTCACACCTGCCCCACCCCAGCCTGGCGAAGGCACCGAGGCCGACCCTCCCTCTGCTGCTGCCCAGGAGCCCCCGCGGGGGCTGCCCTTCAGCCCCTTCTCACCCACCCTGCAGAACAACCCCGTGCCTCGCAGCCGCCGCGAGGTCCCTCCTCAGCTGCAGCCACCTGTGCCTGAGGCCGCCCAGCCCTTGCCTTCTGCAGGCTCCAGGGGGCCCCCCCAGGGCCCAGGGTGGGCTGGGGCCGGGGCCTCCCGCCTGGCAGAGCTGCTGTCAGGCAAGCGGCTGAGCGTGCTGGAGGAGGAGGCGGCTGAGGGCAGCCCCGCATCGCGTCAGTGCGGCTCCTGCTCCGCACCTGGCCCCGCGAGCCCTGCCCGCTGTGAGGCCTGTGGCACCACACCGTGCAGTGATGTCATCGACCTGGCTGGTGACACCGTGCGCTACACACCAGCCAGCCCCTCCAGCCCCGACTTTACCACCTGGTCGTGCGCCAAGTGTACGCTCAAGAACCCCACAGCGGCCCCCAGGTGCACGGTGTGCGGCTGCTCCAAGCTGCATGGCTTCCAGGAGCACGGCGAGCCCCCCGCCCGCTGCCCCGACTGCAGCGCTGACAAGCCTGGCCCCTGCTTGACCCACAAGGCCGGCTGCCTCCTCCCTGTGGCGCCGCCCGAGCGCTCATGCCAGTGGGCCTGCCCTGCCTGCACTCTGCTCAACGAGCCCCGGGCCAAGCACTGTGTCGCCTGCCACACGCCCCAGCTCCTGGTGGCCCAGCGCCGCGGTGCCGCGCCCCTGAGGCGCAGGGAGAGCATGCACGTGGAGAAGCGGCGGCAGACAGATGAGGGCGAGGCCAAGGCCCTCTGGGAGAACATCGTGGCCTTCTGCCGGGAGGTGAGTCCCTGCAGATGGGGGTCCACACTCGGGGCTGGCTCTCCACGCTCGCCTTCCCTAGCCCCGGATCAGGCTTCCTCTGCATCTTCTGACCCCTGCCGGCCCTTCTCCCTGGAAAGGGAGGACCCTCTTCCCCAAGCTCTGAGCACCAGCCTGGCCCTGAGCCTGGGTCAGCCCCCTGAGCCACCCTTCGCTGGAGTATGGCTGGTCCCCGCTACCCACGTGTTGCCCCTTCTTCCTTTGTGCTGAGGGTCTGCGACCCCATAGTCGGTGGTCCTGACCCCTCCCCAGCGTGACTTCCCATGGGCAGTGAAGCTAGAGGAAGGTCAGGGTGGTGCCTTCTCCAGCCGGGACACTCAGGGCTGGGACACCCCTCGTGCTCCTCTGCCCTTGGAACTGCGGGAGGGCTGACTCAGGGAAGGATCACCCCCAGGGTCAGCTGGAGGCACCGTGTGTCCCCACTGCCCCGTCACTGCCAGCAGCCTACCCTGACAGCTCATCTGAAGGCTCATGTCCTGCCTTCCCTGTCCCAGCCAGGTCCCCCACTTCTCTTCCTGGGGCCTTCGGTGCAGTGGGCGTGGGCTGGGCAGGGAGGCCACCCAGGTTCCCTGTCCCCAGTGCCCACCACCCCTTCGGCCTCCAGGCCGGGGGCCGCCCCATCTGCCCTGGGCGTGCACACCTCCCACTGACCCGTCACCAGCCTGCAGTGTCCTGGTTGGCTGCGGTCCCCCACACCCTCACAGGGTCGTGTGGGTCCCACGAGGCCACGGCTGAGCCCTCCACATGGGTCAGGTGGCTGTGCAGACACCCACTCCCTTCCCTTTGGGGTTCAGGCAGCATTTTCAGGATGCTCTCTTGGGCGGTGGTCTGGCCCCAGCCAGGTGGAGAGGCACGTCCTGGGCCCGGGGCTGCCTGGCCCAGCCTCAGCATGTGGCGGTGACCCCTACAGAACAGCGTGAACTTCGTGGATGACAGCTTCCCCCCTGGGCCCGCGTCTGTGGGCTTCCCTGCGGGCGACAGTGTCCAGCAGCGTGTGAGACAGTGGCTGCGGCCCCACGAGATCAACTGCTCCGTCTTCAGGGACCACAGTATCTCGTGGTCCGTGTTTCACACACTCCGGCCCTCGGACATCCTGCAGGGGCTGCTGGGGAACTGCTGGTGAGTTTGGGGCGCCCACCCATGCCGGCCAGGTGGCAGGTGGTCCAGCCGCACTCACCGTGCGGCCGCCGGCTCCGTGCAGGTTCCTGAGTGCGCTGGCGGTGCTGGCCGAGCGGCCCGACCTGGTGGAGCGGGTGATGGTCACGCGCAGCCTGTGCGCGGAGGGCGCCTACCAGGTGCGGCTCTGCAAGGACGGCACGTGGACGACGGTGCTGGTGGACGACATGCTGCCCTGTGACGAGGCCGGCTTCCTCCTCTTCTCGCAGGTGGTGGGGCGGGCGGCTCGGGCGGGCGCGGGATGGGCGGTGGCGGGCCTCACGACTCCAGCCCTTCCACGCAGGCTCAGCGGAAGCAGCTGTGGGTGGCCCTCATCGAGAAGGCGCTGGCCAAGCTGCACGGCTCCTACTTTGCCCTCCAGGCAGGGCGCGCCATCGAAGGCCTGGCCACGCTCACCGGCGCCCCCTGTGAGAGCCTGGCGCTGCAGGTCAGCTCCACTAACCCCCGCGAGGAGCCTGTTGACACTGACCTCATCTGGGCCAAAATGCTGAGTTCTAAGGAAGCTGGGTAAGAGGGGCGGGCGCTGCAGTGGTCAGTGGCATTGGGAGGAGAGGCGAGGGGACGGCCGGGCCGGGGCCTGGAGCGGTGGGAGAAGCAGGGGCGGGCACCCTCTGAGCCGCACCATGCGTTTCACAAGATGTTTCTGGCAAGAGCTGACCACAGCGAGGCGGCCTGGCTGTCAGCCTTGTCACCTCCCACCACTGGGCCGGCAGTTCCACCTGCCCAGGCGGGGCAGGAAGCAGGCAGGATGCTGTCCACTGGCCCACACCTGGAGGGCCCGTCCTGACCTGGGCCTGTGATGACGGGGAGCGAGCCCAAGGAGGCACCTGGGGGAGTGGGGGCTGTCTTCCGAGACCCAGCACACACTGGATGGCGTGTCTGTGGGGAGGGGCTGGAATGCTAGGCCTGGGAGAGACAGCTTGTTGGTGCTGAGACCGCCTGCTCTCAGCTGATACTGGGCAGTACTGCTGCCCTCTCCCCTTGGGGGGCCGTGACCCTGAGCTAGCAGGACCAGCTAGCCTCACGAAGCCTCCAGGGGACCCCAGCTTGCCCATCTCCCAGCCTAAGCCCTCTGAGTTCTTGGGTCACAGTGGAGGGACCAGGCCAGCACTTCCTGATTCTCATGTGTCTCACGTGGGTCCCCAGGATCGGCACTCCCTACAGGCAGGGAGGCCCCCCACCCTGCGCTGCTCCTTCCTGCCCTGGGGGCAGGGCCAGAGCCAGCAGGGGTCCCCTGGAGAGTGAGCTCCTCCCCCACCTCCCCACCCCACCCCCGCCCCGGTCAGCGAGGCTGTTCTGCTGGCACAGGTTCCTCATGGGCGCCTCCTGTGGGGGGGGCAACATGAAGGTGGATGATGCTGTCTACGAGAGCCTGGGCCTGCGCCCTCGCCACGCCTACTCCGTCCTGGATGTCCGTGATGTCCAAGGCTCCAGGTAGGGGCTGGGCCAGCCATGGGCAGCCAGGGGTGAGGATGTGTGGTGGAAGCTGTGGGGGGTGTGGGCGTGGCCCTCAGCCCCCTGGTCCACAGGCTGCTGCGCCTCCGGAACCCGTGGGGCCGCTTCTCCTGGAATGGTAGCTGGTCGGACGAGTGGCCACACTGGCCGGGGCACCTCCGCAGTGAGCTCATGCCGCATGGCAGCAGCGAAGGCGTCTTCTGGATGGAGTACAGCGACTTCATCAGGTACCTGGATGCTGCGGGCAGTGGGGGTCCCATGTCTGCCCATGCTGCCCCCTGCTCCAGCCGCCCTCACCTTGTCCCACCTGACCTGTCTCTGCCCAACACGCGGCGTCCTTCCCTGTGGAGCCCAGCCTGTCCCTCCTGCCAACCGGGGCCCTCTGCCATCCCGGAATCCAGGTCGGCATCGGGTGAGAGAGCTCTGCTCTCTCTGGGTCATCCTTGGCGCCTGGCGCCCCCTGGTGGTGTCCACGGGCAACAGGCAGGACCAGGGCTTCCTGGACACTGGTCCCAAGAGATGCGCAGGGCGTCGAGGGGTGGGGCTGCAGGAGGCGCCCCACGCCTGTCAGGGTCACCGGGCGCCCTGTCGTGTCCTTACCGAGGTGGGGGCTGCTCAGTGAGGCCGCCCTCTCGCTGCCCAGGTACTTCGACTCGGTGGACATCTGCAAGGTGCACTCGGACTGGCAGGAGGCGCGTGTGCAGGGCTGCTTCCCCACCTCGGCCAGCGGGCCCGTGGGGGTCACGGCGCTCACGGTGCTGGAGCGCGTGTCCCTGGAGTTTGCGCTCTTCCAGGAGGGCGGCAGGTGGGCGGGCGGGGCAGGGTGGGGCCAGGGCGGGGGCGGGGGCCGCTCTCGGGGTGGTGGGGGCGGGGCGCCTCGGTGACCGCGGGTCTGGCCACAGGCGCGCGGACGCTGTGGACAGCCACCTGCTGGACCTGTGCGTGCTGGTGTTCCGCGCGTCCTTCGGTAGCGGCGGCCGCCTGAGCCTGGGCCGCCTGCTGGCGCACAGCAAGCGCGCCGTCAAGAAGTTCGTCAACTGCGACGTGATGCTGGAGCCCGGCGAGTACGCCGTGGTGTGCTGTGCCTTCAACCACTGGAGCCCCTCCGCGCCCGGACCCTCGGCTGGCGCGCACGGTGACGCCCCGGCCCTGCTGCCCCTGCCCCGACGGCTGCTGCCCACACCACTGGCCCCCACTCACGACTCACTTCCCCCACAGCCTCCAGCCCCACCGCGGGTGTCCCGCGCTGCGCCTCGGAGCCACCTGGCCACGTGCTGGCCGTGTACAGCTCGAGGCTGGTCATGGTGGAGCCGGTGGAGGCCCAGCCGACCACACTGGCGGACGCCATCATCCTGCTCACCGAGAGCCGGGGCGAGCGGCATGAAGTAGGGGCGGGGAGGGGTGAAGGGGGAGGGAGGGGCCCTGGGGGGGAGCGAGGGGAGGAGGCGGCCCCACCCCAGCCCACGCCTGCGCTGTCGGTGTCCAGGGCCGCGAGGGCATGACCTGCTACTACCTGACGCACGGCTGGGCGGGGCTGATCGTGGTGGTGGAGAACCGGCACCCCAAGTCCTACCTGCACGTGCAGTGCGACTGCTCCGACAGCTTCAATGTGGTGTCCACGCGCGGCAGTCTGCGCACCCACGACAGCGTGCCGCCCCTGCACAGGTGGGCCCCGCCCCCGCCCCTGCGTCCCCTGGCCCTCGCTGGCCCTCACTGGCCCCCTCCCCCAGGCAGGTCCTGGTGATCCTGTCCCAGCTGGAGGGCAACGCTGGCTTCTCCATCACCCACCGCCTGGCGCACCGCAAGGCGGCCCAGGCCTTCCTCAGCGACTGGACAGCCTCCAGGGGCGCCCACAGCCCCCCACTCACGCCCGAGGTCGCTGGCCTGCATGGGCCCCGGCCTCTGTGACAGCCCTGCCCTCACCTGCCCGCTCCCCACCGCACTTTACAAGGGAGACCCCAGCAGAGGACGCTTGAACCAGAATCTCAGGACCCCACCCAGGGAGCTGCCAGCCTCGGGGTGCACCTTCCCCTGGGCCTTCCTTCCTGTCCCAGGCCTCCCGGCCGCCTAGCAAAATACCTCGAATCCACCTCTAGTGCACAGGGGCGCTTCTCTGACCGGCCCACCTCGAGGTCATGTTCAGACCACCATTGCCGAGGTGAGGCTGCCTTTCCCAGTGGGCCTGGGGCCTCCTGTCTGGATGAGGCAGTCAAGAGCTCCATTCACGAAACCAAATCTGGGCGGGTGAAAGGCCAGGACATCAGGGTGAGAGCAGGAATCATCCCCTCTGTGGGGGTCAGGCTAGGACCCTGGGGTGAATGGGGACCACCCCCGTCTGTGGGGGTCAGGCTAGGACCCCAGGGTGAGCAGGGATCACCCCCTCTGTGGGGATCAGGATAGGAGCCCGAGGCGAGCGGGGACCACCCCCTCTGTGGGGGGGGCAGGCTAGGACCCCGGGGCGAGCGGGGACCACCCCCTCTGTGGAGCACAAAGTCAGGAGCTTTCTCCCCCCAGCTTGCCCCCAGAGCCCATCTAACCCCTAGGAGGCAAGCAGGGTTCCTGGAGTCCCAGCAGTGTGTCTCAGGAGGCAGGTGCCTGGTGGCCATGGGCTCAGGGCGGGATGGGGAGGGTCCCAGCTGCCCCTTGGTGAACTATGCAATTCCTGGAGCATCCACCAGGACCGAAGCCATGCCCTGGAGGCTGCGGGTCAGGAGCTGTGAGTCGGGGCCAGGCCCACTCTGCCGTTTGGTGAGGGGAGTTGTCCTCAGCACCACTTGAAATTTGCCAGGAGGACCAGGGTCCAGCAGAAATCTGTGGCCAGCCCTGTCCAGGCACACGCAGGGCACAGCCCCCGCCTGGTCTCAGGCCCAGGGAGCTGAGCCACCGCCCAGGTGTCCTCCCCCTGCAGCTGCTGTCAGGCCGGAGTCCTGCGTCTGCCCCCAGACGTCTGAGGCCAGCTTCCTGGGGGCCTGCCCAGCCTCACCCTGCCCATGGCCCCTCACTTCCCATGGGGCTTGTGGGGTTTTTACACCTGGAGAAGCCCCGGGAAGCACTACCCTCCCTTTTGGGCCTCCTTTATATTTCTTCCTTTTACTGTGAGCTGTGAATATTTTTAACCCTGTACATATGCCAGCTCTTCCGACACAAAGACTATTTTATCAGTTGTCAGTTCAGTCCCTGTAGGGTGATTCTCCATGGGTGTTTCCAGACTCAGGCTCCGATGGACCAAATAAAAACATTTTGTTTTGTAATGATGCCTCTTTGTCTGTCACCCCGCTCAGGGTCTGTAGCTCCTCCCCTCCCCTCCACGGGCAGAGCTGTGCTGAGGGGCACCCAGGCCGGCCTGGGGACAGTACCTCAGTAGGGGGTGGCTCACAGGTGCCCAAGGTCAGCCTCACAAGGAGACTCTAGGGGCACCCTGCTCACTGGCTGCCTGCGCCCCAGGAAGGACGGCGCATCCAGGCAGGGCAGAGGCTCTGCCAGACCCTGTGGTGGTCGACAGGCTGGTCCCCACGCAGCCTCAGCCCCACGCAGAAGGCTGGGGAGTACGTGCAGGTTTTCCTGTGTGTGTTCGGGCAGGGTGTTGGGGGTGCTGTCTGAATCCATCAGAGTCATCAGGCAGGAGCAGACGGAGCAAGGGGGCCACTCAGGGAGACAAATTTGCATCTGCAGTGGGTGGCGGCCCTGCTCCTGCTTTTGGACCCAGTTGTCCCGCGTCCCCTCCAGCCTGTTCAGGAAGCATCGTTCCCCATTTCCCAAGTGTCAGCTGTGGCCGTCTGCGAGGTCTGCGGGTTTGCAGTCTGTCGAGGCTCCTGGGTGGGACCAGCGGCAGGGGCCACCCTCCCTGGACGGAGGGGCGCCGAGTTGGGGGCTGGGGCACAGAGGCCGGCACTGGCGGGTGTAAGAGGCCTGTCACAGGCCAGCCTATTGAATGTGAAAGCAATTAAAGCCACCAGCAGTGTTCGCTCGGGGCGGGCCTCGGGCGGCGGGGGAGCTGCCACAACACATCTCACCTCGATGCCGGGAGACGCCGCCCTGCTCCACCGCGGCTGCGCGGCCACGCCGGACCTCCTCCTCTGGGGCAGGGGCCGGGCCATGTCCACCCTCGCAGGCTGCACAGCCACGCCAGACCTCCTCCTCTGGGGCAGGGGCCGGGCTATGTCCACCCTTGCAGCGGCACGGAGCTGGCTCTGTCACCACTGGGGCGTCCAGGCAGCCTGGACCCATGTCCCTCCAGCCCCGGTCAGCCCAGGAAGTGAGACATGAGGACAGCGGGTGCCCGATGTCCTGTGGTGTCAGGCCAGGGGTCTCCACGGTGGGGCAGGGGGCTGCCTGCCCACCCCCTCAGGCGGCCTGCAGACCCTGGCTCGCCCCAGCTGGCACCCCCTCTGCTCCGACTGCAGTGTGCAGGGGAGGAGGCTCCAGCAGGGAGGGTGAGGGAAATGGGGGCCAGGTGCCCCCAGCCCCAGAGGACACAGACTGTCCAAGGAAGAGTTGGGGGACCCCAGAGGTGAGACCCTCCGTCACGACGTGGGAGCTCCCAGGAGGTGCTGGCAGGGGCAGACCACTCGAGGGTCCGTGGTGGGGGTGTGGCCGGGGTCAGGGGGCTCCAGGGGCAGGCGAGTGGTGGTGAGAGAGGATGGGGGAGCCAGCCAGGGGGACCTGAGGGATGGAGTTCTCCCTCGGCCATTGTGGGCCGGCACCTGGGCCCCAGGCCCCGTGTGAGGAATGGATGGGGCGAGCCACGTAAGTGGGGAGTGGGCACGAGGCCAGGTGCGACCCCGCCTCACTGTTCGGCCCCGGCTCCCCACCTGGGTCCCCTGCCTGCCACATCTCCCACCCTCCGGCCGGCCATCGGGCTCCTTGTCCCGGGACCTTCTCCTCTCCTGCCCCCTTCCCCATGTCCCCGGCGCTGACCCCGTCTCTGCCAGGCACCCCCATGGCCCCCTCAGCCAGGCTGCCTCGCTGCCCACCCGTTGGCCACAGCGGCCTTCCCAGGGCGGGCGGGGTGTGTTCTCACTTTCGAGGCGCCCCTGTCAGAAGCACTTAGTGTACAAATTAGCCGCGGCCTCCGCCTCCCTCCGCACAGCTCTGGGCGCCGGGCTGACAGGGCCGACTCCGGGCCCTCGGCCGCCTGCCCCGGGCGCCCGCGCCACCCGCGTGCACCCCTGGCCGCCCGCCCACCACCAAGCAGGAGAGCTGGCCCTGCCAGCAGACCGGGCTCCTCTCAGGGTCCCCGACCTTGACCTGGACAGGGGTGACCTCAACAGGGCAGGGTGTTTGGCAAGGTGTTGGCGGCCCCAAGCTAGAGGCTCAGCACCCGGATCTACCCGGAGCGGCGGATCCAGTGTCGAGAGCCGCGGGGGTCGCACCGGGGCCGGCACAGAGCCTCCACAGCCCCCACCCGCCCCGCCCGCTGGCCGGCCTGCCACTCAGGCAGGGAAAATTGTCTGTGACAGGCCCAGGAAGGCCGGGGCCCGGGGGCCGCAGAGCACTGCACACAGCTCTTCTTCCAACATATGGTTGCTGTCGGCCCCGGGCGCTGCTAGGCCAGTGCCGGCTGGGAAGCCGGGCGGGGGCTTGGGTGGCCTGAGCCTCTATCCCACCCACCTGGCCACGCCGCTCCCTCAGTGATTCGAAAGGCCCCTGCTCCAGCTCACATGCCTCCCACGATGGGGAGCTCACTCCCGCTGCAGTCCCTCCTGCCCCTCCATCCCGGGAGCCCGACGCATGCAGAAGGTCACCCCACACCCCACTCCACCCCAGGGTGGCCATGACCTAGCAGGTCCGGGAGGCGGAGAGCACATGGCGAGGGGCTGTGGGGGGCTTCCAGAGGAGGCAGCCCTGCAGCTAGTCAGGGGAGGGGGCACAGTGAAGCAGGCATGGGACAGGCTGGCCAGCTATCTGGCAGAGAGTCATCCACAGGCCCAGAGCAGCTGGAGCCAGAGGCCTTCTCCTGGGGTCCCTGGTGCCAGGAGCTTCCCACCTAGGCCCCTGTCCCTCAGGGTGGGCCCCATCCACCCCACGTCCCTGGGCCAGCTTGTCAGGCCCCCTCACAGACTCCCTGGAGTCTGCATGTGCTCCCATGGGCCACACTCTGCCCAGCCCTCACGAGCCTGCAGTGGGGAACCCCCAAACCTGCTCACAGCCCTGTCCATGCAGCCACCCAGTCCCATCGCTCTGGCTCCACTTCTCCCCTCACAACCCTGCTGTGAACCTGCTGTGGCTCCCCAGTGCTCTAGGGGTCAGTGGCCCCAGGCTGGCACCCAGGGCCCTCAGGTGCGACCCTGCCTCCTTCGGGCAAGCCTTGGGCCAGCCTCTCTCAGCCTGGGGTCCCTGAGGCCACCTCCAATGGGCAAGGAGGAGGAAGAGCTAAGGATGACCCAGGCTCTGGGCCCAGGGGGCTCATGGACATTCTGGGGGCTGCGTGGGTCCTGGGGTTCACCAGTGAGCGAGTGAACATGAGCCATGGCCATAATCCTGCATGGTGCTGACCCCTCCCAGGGGCTCCAGCCCCCTGTCCCTCCACCACCGGGAGGGCGCAGGCTAGCCTGGCCCCTGCACCTGTCCTGGCAAGGCCCATGTGTGGACACTGAGGGGACAAGACAGGCCTGCCCCAGGCATCACGCCACCACCCCCCTGCCTTCCCTGGGCCCGGCTGTCCATGCTGCCCACATGCCCCCCTGGCACACACGGACCAGCATTAACGGAGGTGACAGGCAAGCGGCCACGGGCAAGCCAGGCAGAGGAGGTTAATAGCTGAGATGCGGCTCTCGCTGGGGGCAGAAGCAGGGGCTATGGGTCCCCACCCCACCCTACACCAAGACCAGCTGAGGAGGGAAGACTGCTCCCCAGGCCCCCACTGACGCCAGCAGCACCCAGAGACCACATCTCCCACCACTCATTCTGCAGATGAGGGGACCAAGGCTGAGGGAGCATGGGCAGGGGTCTCAGGGCCCACGGCCACATGGGAGACCAAGCCCCAAAGCCATGAAGGTCCCTGCCACTGCCTCAGGGGGCAGGGGCCACCTCCCTGGGGCCCAAGCTCACCCCAACACATGGCGGATGGGTCCCAGTGGGCGGGTTACGACCCACCCTACGCCCCACTCCCGGGTGGAAAGTGGGACAGGCCCCGGGCACAAGCCATGCTAGCTGTGAGAGCAGATGCGCCCGAGCGCCTCAGGCAGAGAGCACAGGGGCGTGGGCCACGGAGAGCACTGACATCTCAGCCCCGCCTGGCTGTGGGTGGTGGGGACAGGTCATCTGTGCACCCGATAGGCTGACGGCTGACTTGCACCCCACACACCGGCCACAGGACCGCGACTGCCACTGAGCTCTCGGCGCGCCCCGAAGCAAGCTCAGGCCCCCTGCAGCCCCCAACACAGGCCCCTCCTGGAAGCCTAGAAACATGCCAGGTTGTGCCCCTGGGGTGCTGAGTGTCTCTGGAGGTGCTGCCACCTCTCCTCTCACCCAAACTTCTGGAAAGGCCATCCACAGGGGCCCATCCACACGGGCATTCCCCACACCCTGGCCTCCTCCCCACTCTCAGGGGCTCCTGGGCACCTGGGCTCCTCTGCGTGCCAAAAGGCAGGGCCGCCCGGGAAGAGAGCTTTCTGATCCATTGCCTTCCTTCCCCTGGATGATGGCAACAGCCTCCAACCAGCCCACCCCCTGTGCTGGCAGCCATGGCCTCTTCCAGACCCTCAGAGGGGTCACTCAAGGAGGGGTGGGGAAGCACAGACCTGTCCCTGGGACCAAACGGCCAAGGCCTGGGTTCTCCACTCCCACTGTCTCAGGATGACTTGTGCCCCTGTCCTCTCTGGGCAGTGCCTGTGACGAGGGGCCTGGGCCTGGTTGAGCACGTCCAGAGTGGGGTCTGTGTGCAGGAGAAGCAGGCCTCCTGGCCCCTACTCTCCACAGGGCTGCTGGCGTGACGGCCGCTCAAGCTGTCTCCCGGCCTGGGGCTGCCTGCACGGTCAGCTGGTCAGCTGGGCCAGGCCAGGCAGGCAGAGAGGAGAAGGCTGGCATGCTGTGCCACCTGCAGTAGCCCTCTCGGCCCCCGTGGACTTGATGGGGAGAAGTGGGGACCCCCAGGTTGCGTCAGGGAAGGTGGTACTGGGGCAGCAGGGAAACAGAGGTGAGCACTCACCCTCATGCCAGTGTCCTTGCACTGGCGCCCCCAGAACAACGGGGCCCTGCTCCTTATGGACGCCTATTGTAGTTGACCAGAGCCCCAGGAGACCTGTGCCAACAACAGGGCCATGGCTTGTCACCCTTCTGCACAGATGGGGAAGCTGTGGCCAGGTTCACGGGGCCCAGGAGGTGCTAGACCCTGGATCCAGTGCTCTCCTCTGGCTGCACCATCCCAGGTGTGACACCCAGGGCTCCCTAGAAGGAGCAGGAGGGTGCCCCTTCCTTCCCCAAGGCACCTCTGACCCCCACACTGAGCTGGGGACATCCCAGGAAGCCTCCGCACCACCACAGCGCCAGCCTGAGCAGCACTCACCGTACTGGCTGCAGACCTCATCCTGGGCCTGAAATGGCCACCACACATCTCGGGGTCAAGGTCCTGCTCCTGAGCAAAGACTCTGGGAGAGATGGTCGGGCTCTGTCCTGGCATGTTTGCGTCCACATCCAGAATGGCACTGGTTAGTCAGACAAACTTCTCCTAGGACCCAGCTGAGAAGAAGTTGACCCCAGACCTTTAAGTTCTGACAGCTCAGGGCGCAGCATGGAACTCGGTGGACCCTGGGAGGTGGGCTGGGAGCAGTTCTGGCCATGAGGATGTCAGGGGATGAGATTTCGTAATGGGACCAGGATATCTAAGCCTTTCCCTGGCCCTGCCTCAGCCACCCCAGGTCCCCCCGGGAGGGACAGCCAGGGGACAGATGCAGGGCCTGGAGGTGCAGCCTCCTGGGGCACCTGAGGGGAGTGAGAGGTGGTGGTTGGGGGGGTGGTTCCAGAAACGGGGCAGTGAGCCATGGTGACCATCCTTTCCGGAGCCGGGGGCCAGCAGCGGGCAGGGCAGGGGTTTAGGGGTGCAGATCCATTCGACCCCCTGCTTGGAGAAGAGGAACCAGCACTTACTGAAGGCGAGGCGTGGCCAGGGAGACTGGCCAGAAAAGGAGACTTGCTCCACTGTCTGTGTGCTGGGTTCTCCCACTCGGCTCCTGGCTCCAGCCCTCCTAGGGCTAGGCTCTGTCTCCTCCCGGGTCTGGGCTCTGTGCCCTTGCGGGCTGGACTGCAGGCCTCCCCAGGCTGGCTCTGTTCACCTCCCCAGGCTGCCTCTGTTCCCCACTGGCCCCCCTGTCCTGGGGCTCAGCCCCCAGGCCCTGGCTCAGGCCGGCGGTTGTCAGGGGCCAGAGTCTTGCCCTGACGGATGAGTGCTGACGGCCCCTCTCCCTGCGCCCTCGCCGCTGACACCCCACCACACCGCTGCGGGGACCCCGGGAGACCTGGCCGCCTCTGCGCACCCCCGCGGCAGCCTTCAGGCTACGGGGGCGGGGACCGTGCCAGGCGCCCCTCATTCCGCTGCAACCTGCGCCTCCACCCCCGGCTTCTCCTTGCCGCTGCCTGTCCCTGCCCTGCTCCAGCGGTGCCACCGTTGTCACCAGCCTCCGCTCCATCCAGGAGTTGCCAGCGCTGCCGGGAAAGCGGAGCGGGTCCCGGGCGCGCGACGCGGGTGAGTGCGCGCGAGGGGGCGACTGTGGGCAGGAGGAGGGGAGAGACGGTGGGGGGGGGTGTGCACCTGGGGTGGCCAAGGGGAGACCCCTCCCTGCGCTCTCGCGCCCCCTCCCCCCGCGAGCCCGGGTTGGAGGTCGCAGCGCCCCCCGGAGCCCGGCGCCGTGGCGCACGCGCGGCCGCTCCTGCCGCCAACTTCGGTGAGTGTCAGTCGGCGTCGGGGGGGACGCGGTCGGCGGCGGAGGCTTCAGGGACTCGCTGCCCAGTAAGTGACCGCAGACCGCGGCGGCCGCTCCCAGCGCCCGGCCTCAGTCTCCCCTGCGGGGTCCGTGTCGCTGCCCGAGAGCCGGTGCGGGTCCCGCGGGGTCCGGGGTCGCGGGGGGGGCGCCGGGCGGGGCGGGAAGTTTCCGTGGGTCCCGGGGCCACGCGCAGACTTCGCGGGCGCCGCGGGCTCCGCTCCGGCCAGGGCACAGGTAGGGCGGGCGCGGGCAGCGGCGCGTCTGGGGAAGTTTTGAGGCCTCGCGGGGCCGGGCCAGGATCCAGCGGCGTGAGGGGCTCGGGGCGGCGGGACTCCAGGAGTGTCGGGGCGCCGGCGGGGCAGCCCCAGCCCCCACTTCCCCCACTTCCTGGCGTCCAGGCTCCGCATGAGGACCATGTGGGCGCAGCAGTCCGGACCCTGTAGGAGGGCAGGGGAGAGGGAGTTGGGGTCTGGACCTCAGCCAGGGAGGAGCCTGGTCACCCTCTCTGCACCCTGCCCTGTGGGGTGCCCCCAGGTCCCAAGGGGGCCAGCGGGATGGGTGAGCTGTAACCCCTGGCGGCTGGTGGAGGCTCCAGGCGCTGGTGCCCCCCTCCCACCCTGGGGTGGGGCCTCCTGCTCCTGGCCTGCACCAGTTCTCCCTAGACAGGGAAAGGTTAGTGGGCCCGGGTCTGGGCTGGTATTCTAGGGGCACAGGCCGCCCTGAGAGCTGCATCCAGTCACGGGTTGGGACATGTGTGTGGATGAATGTGCCTTTGGGTGTGTGTGGGTGCATGCTGGTGTCTGGGGGGTGTCTTCTGCTTGTGCACAAGCATGCTAGGGGGGTGCCAGGCGTCCTTGGGGTCCCCTTGGGGTCAGCAGCTGCTGATATGGCTCCCGAACAGGCTCCCCCCACCCAGGTGACTGATCTGAAGAGGGAGCACGGGAGGAACCCCCCGCCTCCTGAGTCCAGGGGCCTAGGAGGAGCCCTCCCCAGTCTAGGGGCCCGGCTAGGAGGTGGGGTGGGCGGTGGCACTAGGCAGCACAGCTGTGTGGCTCCCAGGGCTGGGTGATCGATGGCCCCAGCACAGCCGCCTCTGTCTCCTGAGCACATATGCCCATTTGTCATCTGTGTCTTGGGGGAGGTGGGGAGCAGGGATGGGGCCTGCCTCTGCACCCCCACCACCAAGTCCAGGGGGGTCTACAGCCCCTCGGGGAGCCCCAGGCCCTTTCCTGTCCCAACCCCTGCACCCCTCTCAGAGCCCCATCCCCTCCCAGACATGGATATCCACAAACCAGTCAGTTAGTCTCTGCCTGCCCCACCCTGCATGCCCTGGCCATAGCCATGCTGACGTCCCTCTGAAGGGCCCCTTTGGATGGGCAACCGTCTCCACCTCTCTGGCTGTCCCCATAATGGGGGTGCCCACCCAGTGTTTGGGGGCAGCAGATATGACTGCCTGCCGTGTGCAGAGCCCGAAGGCCAGCAGGGAGGACAGCCTGCTCCCAGTGGCTGTCCGGCTACCCCAGCCCTGCTCTGCTCAACTCACTGCCCATCCCTGGGCCCTGAGGAGCAGGGCTAGTGTATGTGTCCACATCCGTGAGAGTGTCCGTGACCGTGTGTGTCTTCGGGTGTGTAGCGTGTGTGCATGTGTGCACGCTGCACCTGACTGTGTCTGAATGCGTGCTCACACCCCCCACTGTGCTGTGAGTGTGTTCATGTGTGCGGTGACCGTGTCCACTCTGAGTGGTGTGTGTGTGCCCGAGCCCCATGCGTTTTGGTGGCCCGCTCTGTTCCGAGTCTGCCCAGCAGTGCAGAGAGTGTCCTCCAGGTGCTGAGTGAGGGCTCATCAGGAGCCTGGTACGCTTGTGTGCACATACTTGCCATGTGCCCCACACAGGCACACACTGGGCGGTGGATGGCTCAGGTGGCAGCCCAGATGGAGAGTGGAGCGGCTTCCGAGCGAGCGTGCAGGGTGTGAGGAGAGGAGGGTCTTGGCCAAGCTTGGCCGCTGCAGGCTTAGCCGGTGACCTGCCTGAAGCCACCCAGATGGAGCCAGGCTGAGCAGGTGGCTGTGCCGGGGGGCCATGCTGTGATGTCCACACCCCCCAGCCTGGCCTGGCCCCACATGAGGCTGACCCCCTCAGAGACCTCCAGTGCCCACCCGACCCCCTGCTGGAGCAGGAACACACACACACACACGCACACACGCATGCACACACACACACGCACACGGCATTAACCAGCCGCTCAGAGCCTTCTGCTGCTCTCTCATCTCAGCAGCCTTAATCGTGGCTTCCCGGCAGGGGCAGGGCTCTTTGGAGGGGAGTAAACGAGAAAGGGCTGGTGTCCCCCGGAAGGAGCCTGGTCATACTTGGCTTCTTCCAGTCCCTCACCAAACGCCCATTGGGTAGACAGACTCAGCTCTGCTGGCGTGGGGGAGACAGGCGTGGATGGACTCATCCTAGACGTGGGCCTGCCAGGGGCTGGCCGACCTGGGGGCGGAGATGTGTGTAGTGTCGACCGATAAAATACAGGACACCTAGTTCAACTTAAATTTCAGAAAAACAGCAAATACTTTTTTAGTGCACGTTCTAAATATTGGCTAGACCATAGTTACACTAAAAAAGTATTAGCTGTTTACCCGAGTCAGATTTAACTGGGCATCCTGCATTTTTATCTGCCACGTCTGTCGACCCTGGGAGTGTGCGTCAAGAGGAACTGAAGGGCGAGGTGGGAGGGCGGTCCAGGCCAGGGAGGCCCAGGTGCCCCCGGCTCTCATCCCCGGAGCTCTGGGAGCTGTGGATGGAGGGGAGTAGGGAGGGTCAGAGGAGTCGGCGCTGACCGAGGCCCCCCTGTCCGCAGGTGGCCATGGTGCCGGGGCCTGCCCTCTAGCAGGCCACCATGTCCCAAGAGGCGGGCTCGTGCCGCCTGGGCGCCGGGGCGCGGGCGCGGGCGCGGAAGCCCAAGAAGCCTCACTACATCCCGCGGCCCTGGGGCAAGCCCTACAACTACAAGTGCTTCCAGTGCCCCTTCACCTGCCTGGAGAAGTCACACCTCTACAACCACATGAAGTACAGCCTCTGCAAGGACTCCCTCTCGTTGCTGCTCGACTCCCCTGACTGGGCCTGCCGGCGCGCCCCGGCCACGCCCCGGCCCCGTGCGCCCACTCCAGACGGCCCCTCGGACCCCACGGACCCTGGCAGTCGGCCCCGAGGAGCATGGCTCCCAGACGTTCCCGCCACGCCCGACTTCATCGTCACTGACATCCTCTCCCTGAGCCACCGTGTTGGGGGCCCCAAGCCGGGGGCCGATGGGTACCCAGGGACGCCGCCCCCTGTAGCCAGGGACACCCAGAAGGGTGCAAGCCACAGTGGGCGCCTGGCCGAGTCTTGGAAGCCGGGACCGAGCGGGGTCCCAAGGAGCATGGCCGTGGTGGACGCGGCCGCAGCGGGCCGTAACAGTGGGGTCCCCTGCTACCCTCCGCCCACCCCCAGCGAGTTCCCCGAGGCCCAGAGCCTTCACCTGTCCCTGCTGGGTGTCAACTACCCTCTTGGCCCAGGCCTCTTCTCCTACTTGGGGCCCTCCCTGGCCGCTGCAGCCCACATGCCCTTTCTGGCCTCGGCCAGCCCCCTGCTGCCCCCGGCTGCCGCCTTCCCCACCCCACAGCTCCCCGAGCGCCCAGCCCTGGTCCCCCGCCTGTACTACCCCCTGCTCATGGAGCACACCCTGGGGCTGCCAGCAGGCAAGGCTGCCCCTGCCAAGCCCTCTGCTCCCCACAAGGGGCCCTCCGGGACTCTGGCCCCCGGGCTGCTGAAGGTGCCAGCACCTGGGCTGGGCGGGCCCTGGCCCCATGGTGCCTCCAGGGACCCAGGGCAAGATGGGGAGCTGGAGCGGACTGCCCAGAGTGACCCCAAGAGAAAGCTGCCTCTGGGAAGCAGGCTGGAGCCCCTGAAGGCCCCCTCCAGCATGGCGAGGTTCAGTTCCCAGAGCAGGTGGGTGTCAGGGGCTCCGGATCACGGGGGATGGGGATGGTGGAGGGGTGGCAAGAGGGCTGGGCAGGGCGGCTGGGCCCCCATCCTGAGCTTAGTCACCGAGAATACAAGCTTCAGGCCCCAGGCCACAGAGGGGAAACCGAGACCAGCAAGCCAGGCTGTCTGTCTTTCTGGGGTCCTGAGGCCCTAGGCCAGGGTGACAAGCTGGACAGGGGCATGAGGGGGGAGTGGGGCAGGGGCTGGGGGCATTGGGGGGCAGTGTAGCCTCCTGACCAGCTCCTATTCCTAGCCTGCGGACGGGCCCCTCCATGATCCTCTGGTGTGACGACAAGGAGCCAAGCAACCCCGAGACCCCAGGCCCTGCGGCCTCCTTGCCCCAGCAGCCGCCAGGCCTGGTGCTAGGGGGCCCTGGGCACGTGGGCGAGGACCTAACGCGGGTCCTCGGCGACTATGCCAGGGTGGAGCAGCGCCTGGAGCAGTTGGTGCCTGCGGGGGGCCTCGCCCCACGGCCTCTGCGGGAGCAGCTGGGCAAGATCCGCCGGGAGCTGCTCACCATCCACCAGGCACTGGAGCAGGCCGTGCGGCCACCAGACACCCCCCTCGACCTCTCTGTGAAGCGGGCACCGACCAAGGGGCAGGAGGCGCCTTCGGGAGCCTGGGGGCAGCCGGAGCTGGGCCCCACACTGGCCCAGGGGACCCCCGAGCCCCCGAGCATGCTGGGCCCCACGGCGCCTGAGCCCTTCTCCGGCCACACCACCAAGTGCGAGGCCGACTCCAGTGTCCCACCTCCGGGCATCCCCCTCCAGGCCCCAGAGGACCCTGTCGTTCTTGGCAGCAGCTGGGGCTCCCATGGTGGGGCTGGGGGCTCCTGGCCCCCCAAGGCTGTCCCTGGCCTGCAGAGCCCCCCGGGTGCTGAGGTCTGACTGCAGCCCCTACTGCCACCTCTGTCCTTAATAGACAGAGGCCCTTCTCCAACCCCATGCCCACCGCCTGGCCCCCCGCCCCAGCCCCACAGCTGAGGCCTGGAGCCTGTCCAGCATGCCCTTGGATGGCCTCTACCTGCTGTAGCTGTGGCCTGTCTCTGGGGCCACACAGGGACAGCAGAGGGTCACGGCTATTAATTAATCACAGCTGTGGACGTTAAACCACCCTCACACACCCCATTTGGGCCTTCCCCTGCCACTCCAGTGTCACCACTAGGACACCGCCATGGAAATGTCCCTGGCCTGGGCATCTGAGGTGGCAGTGACCTGGGCTTCCCTGCTAGGCGTCCACCTTCAGACCCTGACCTGCTTCCTGTAGACTGGGCCCTTCTTGGGGGGCCACAGTCTGGGGATAGAGTGGGGGGCTTGCCATCGGAGGGGGCGGAGCAGGGAGAGATGGGTGTCGGGCCTCTGTTTCCACACGGTGGTGGTGGGCAGGGACCCCTGCACTTGCCCCCAGCCCCCGCGTCTGGCAGGGCAGCCCTAATGTCAGATTCACGCTGGAGGCTGCTGCCTGTGGTTGAATGGAGCCCCCACATTCTGTGGCCCAGCGCTGCTCACCCAGCGTGGCCTCCGCTGGGCCCCTGCCAGCCCCTGCAGCCACGATAGGCATCGGTGGCCTTCACAGCTCGCTGCCTCCCTCCCAGCGCGGCCGGACTTGGCCTTTCCCACAGGCAGGGGTGGGGGGCGGGGGGCAGGTGGGGAGAGGGGCCCGGGGGACCCTCGGACCCAGCTAATCACTTCTCTCCCCAGGAGCTGGCCACACCTCCATGCCCACCCAGGAATGGCCCCGGGGAGGGCAGTTCCTGCTTGTGCCTGGCTCCCCAAGCTGGGCCGGCCAGGCTGGGGCCAGTCACAGCAGGACCTGTGGCTCCCCCATTAACCAAGATGGGCAGCAGATAGTGCTGGCCAACCTTCCCACCTCGGGGCATTAGGAGGCAGCATCCAGAGCTGGGGTGCGGGCCGGCCAGGTGCGGAGCACTGTGGGTTGCAGACAGAGGCTGACCCCCTCCACCTTCCAGGGGCTTCCTGGAGGGGCTGCAGGAGGCTGGGGGCTAAGTTAGGAGTGTCTGGAAAATCCCCAGGTCCTGAGTCTGAGGGAGACCCACCCCTCCTCGGCCTCCTGTCAGCAACCCCACGTGTCTACCGCACCCCAATTTCTCATTAACCAATGGGCAGACGTGAGCCTGGCCCTGCTGGGGGGCCTCACCCCAGCTTCACAGGTGCAGAAATGGGATCAGAGAGACAGGACCCAACCTTCCCAGTCTAGGGCGTGGCAAGGTGGACCCCCTGGGGTCCCCTAACCTGGACTCTGGTGGGTGACCCAGCCAGCAGGTCGGGGTGCAGCACCTTCTTCGAGGTCCTGACTCTGCAGTCCTGCTGGGGGACATCGGGTGGGGCTGCCTCATACACAGACGTTTGCTGGCGCCTCCTGAGAAGCAAGCCCACGAACTGCATTGCAGCGGATTGTGGAGGGCCCTGGGGGCCTCCCGGGGAGGGGTTGGCTGGCCGGACCCTGAGCGGCATCCAGCCATGTAGGGGCAGCAGAAAGAATGTCCAGAGGCCAGTGCAAAGGCCTTGAGGCAGGAATGTAGCAGCACTGAGGAGTCCCTGGGGGGTTAGCAGCTGAGTGACATGACTCCAGAAAGCTGCCTTGGGCCACTGCTCAAACGTGGCCACGGCCGGAGTCCCGCCCACCCCCTCCCCCCCACCTGTGCCAGCTGCGTCAGGGCGGCTCCTCCCACTCTCTCAGGCTCTCGTTTCCAACAACAGAGACTGCTGGTGGAGCAGGGCCCAGGGAACCCGGCCCCAGGTAGAAGACCCTCCCTTCTGGCCTCTCTGGGGGTAGGGGCAGGCGGAGAGGCCTAGGAAAGGACCCCTGCCTCACCACGCAGGGTAGGAAGTCTCCAGCGGCTGTGTGGGGGCCACAGGCAGGGGCTTGGGCTGCCCCCAAGAAGGGTCACTTTCCTGCCTGATAGAAGAAAGGGTTCCGTGGACAGATGAATTTGAGAAGCACAGCTCGTCTGTCACCAACCACCCCCACCCCGACCTCAGGACGTCCCAGTGCCTGTGGGCTCATTCGGGCCTCAGAGCAAACCCACGGTGACATTCACGAGTTGCGTGTTTCCCAGAATTATGTTCCAGGGACCTAGAGACACAGCCAGCAGCTGGGCCTTCAGACTGGGCTGGCACTCAGGACCTGGTGGAACTGAGTTCAGATCCAGCTCCCCCTGCCTCAGCTTCCTCACCTGTAAAACAGGAGGACGCCAGCACTGCCTGGAAGGGCGCAGGGGATCCCTGTGGCCGCTGCTTGGCGTACAGTGGCTGTTATTTCTCTTGCAGCCCCAAACTTGGCCCAGCTGCGGGGACTCTGCTCAGAGAGGCTGAGTCTGTGATCTCCGCCTGCCTGCCCGCCCGCCCTCTGGCCTCCTGCTCCGACCTCCTGGGCCTCCCCTACCAACCGGCCACCGCCCCCAGGGCCTGCTTCTCATGCTGGACCCACCTGGAGACCCTGTTCACTTCCGGCGGTGCCAGCTGCTAGGGCGGATCCCAGTGCCCGCAGGGGCTGTGGGTGGGCCCCGGGGCCTGCACTGCTCCCTGGACAGCCTGCTCTTCCTGACGGCTGGGGCTGCACCCTGCATCCACGTGCTGGACCTCGAGGGACGCTCCATCTGCCACCTGCCCTGACACATGCCAGGGGCTGGGGCCTTCGTGCCGGAGGATGTGGCTGTGACAGCTGCTGGGCTCGTAGTGGTCAGTGACCTCGTCCACGGAGCTGTGCACGTGCTCCAGCACACTGCCCGAGCCCCGTAAGGCCTCTGGGTGACAGTGGGCACCTTCCTGGTCCCCCGGGGGCTGGCTGTGGATGCCCTTGGCCGCCTCCTGGTGGCGGACTACGTGCCTGGGGCCGTACACAGCTTCACATTGGGCCCTGCCTTGGAGCTGCTGGCCCCAGCCTCCATGCTGGGTCTGGAGGACCCCTGCTGGGTGGGCCTGGGGCCTGACGGGGGCTTCACCGTGAGTGAGGAGTTTTGGGACGTGCGGCTGTTCAGCAGTGCCCGCCAGCCCCTGGGCTCCCTGGCGGGCCTGACGGGGCATGCCTTTGGCAGCCCAGCAGGTGTGTGCACCGACGCGGAGGGCAGCGTTATTGTGGTGGACGAGCAGCGGCGCCAGGTGACCCTGTTCCCCAGAGCTGGGGCGCCCATCTGCCTGGTGTCCGAGGGGCTGAGGAGGCCCTTGGGTGTGGCCTGTGCGCCCCAGGTCAGCTCATGGTGGCGGATGCAGGGGATGGCTACATCAAGGTGTACCAGTACTACTCGGAGCTGGCCTGACTCGGTGGGCTCAGATGGAAGCAGCTCCCTCACGGTGCGTGGATCCCGGACCACCACGGGAGGAACATTCAGGGTTGCTGGGGTCCGGCAGGGCTGCTGGCCATGCCTTCCTGACCCTGCACATTTGTGACATTTGCTGAGCATCTACTGGGTCAGGCCCAGGCTGGCCCCCGTCTTCCTTGTGCAGAGTGTTCAGACTGTCAGCAGCCACGAACCAGCTGCCTCCCAGCCTCCCCCAAGACCCAGTTCAGTGGGCCCCGGTGCTCACTGCCCCCATGTCCACTCTGGCCCGGCCCGCTGGCTCAGGGCCTGGAAGGCCTGAGCTTTGGGGCCAGCAGCCGAAGCCTGGAGACCTTTGGCGTGTTGGGCTGGCTGCCAGCACTTGCCCAGGCAGGATCTCCCGCCAGGGCCCCAGGCCCGGCCTCCTAATCAGACAGAAGCAGGCAGGAGGGCGCGGCCCGGCTCGCCTGGGCTGGGCGGCCTGGGCAGGGGTGCGGCCCCTCACTGTCCCCCATCCTCAGAGGCGCCCCGGCCTTCTGCAGCTTCTCTGGGCCCAGCTGAGGTAAGGGGGAGGCAGGGGAGGGCACCTGGGGTGGCACGTGGCCGAGTGGGGATCCTCTGTGCCCCTGGTCCACGTCTCTTGTGTGAGGCCATCTCGCGGGCTGAGCCTTCATCTCCTCCTCTGCAAACCAGGACCGAGCAGCTCCACGCTCATGGGTGGGGTGCTGGAGGGCGGCGGGCGGTGTCGAGTCCAGGAAAGCCTTCCCGTGAGGACAGACTCCTGCTGCTGGAGAAACCGGGGAACAGGCCCGGAGGGTGGGAGGCGCAGAGTTTCTCTGAGCCCGGGGTCGGCCGGCTCCTTGCTCCCGGGAGAGGTCATCAGGGGCCACCAGGACATTGCGGTCTGTGGTTTAGGCCATTGCGTCTGTCAAGGTCCCCCGTATGTCCTGGCCCCTGCAGGTGGGGATAAACTGGGTCAATATAAGGAAGCGTGTGCAGTAGGTGCTCAATAAAGGTTAGCTGTTGCTGCTGGTGTTGGGGTGTTATTCCCTGGAGCAGGAGGGGCCAGGGCCACGTCCTGACGGTCAGATCGGATGGCTGCAGCCTCTGGGCTGGCCCTCCAGGACCCAGCCTTCCTAGCCCACCTGGCCCTGGGGGGACCTGGGGTGACCCTCTGCAGAGACCAGTGTGCAAGGGGGCCAGGATGGGGGCAGCCTGAGGTCGGAACCCTCGAAAGCCAAGTCCACAGGGTCCCTCAGAGGAGGAAACCGGGGGTGGGGGAGGTGGGGTACTGGAAGGCAGAGGTGTTGGGGATGCGGAGTTGACTGGAGTGGGGACAAGGATGCTGAGGGGGACAAGGATGCTGAGTGGGACAAGGACGCTGAGGGGGGACAAGGACACTGAGCGGGGACAAGGACGCTGAGGGAACAAGGATGCTAAGAAGAGACCAGGATGCCGAGGGGGACAAGGACGCTGAGGGGACAAAGGCACTGGGGGGACAAGGACGCCAAGGGGGACAAGGACGCCCAGGGGGGACAAGGACGCCGAGGGGGACGAGGACGCCGAGGGGGGCGAGGACACCCGGGGGGTCAAGGACTCCAAGGGGGACAAGGATGCCCGGGGGGGCAAGGACGCCGAGGGGGACAAGGACGCCGAGGGGGGCAACGATGCCGACGGGGGACAAGGATGCCGAGGGGGACAAGGACACCAACGGGGGACAAGGACGCCGAAGGGGGACAAGGACTCTGAGGGGCACAAGGATGCTGAGGGGGACAAGGACGCCGAGGGGGACAAGGACTCTGAGGGGGACAAGGACTCTGAGGAGGGACAAAGTCTCCAAGAGGGACAAGGACGCCGATGGGGGGGACAAGGACGCCAAGGGGGACAATGACGCCGACGGGGACAAGGACGCCAACGGGGGACAACGACGCCGAGGGGGACAAGGACGCCGACGGGGGACAACGATGCCGAGGGGGACCAAGGACTCTGAAGGGGACAAGGACGCTGAGGGGACAAGGACGCTGAGGGGGACAAGGATGCCGAGGGGGGACAAGGACCAACGACACCAAGGGGGACAAGGACGCCGAGGGGGACAAGGACGCTGAGGGGCAGAAGGACGCTGAGGGGGACAAGG